AAAAAAAAAAAAAAAAAAAAAAAAAAAAAAAAAAAAGCCTGAGCTGCATAATCATTGGCCGGCACACTAGTTGTCACAGCCTTTAACTATTCTCTTCGATTATTTTCTGTCAAAGATTCTAACCCACAAAAATTGAGAAGCATCCTATCTTTTTTAAGCCTTGGGCCTGCCACATATTAAGATATTTACTATTTGAACTACAAAAGAGAAGCACATTTCTTACAATAAACGTCGTCCAGTAACATCTAATGGCATTTTGTGGGATCTGGTCTTGTGCATGTGAACAACTATGCTTTCCCAATTCATTTTCTTTTCAGGATAAAATTTATTCAATTGATTTTTTGTGAGTACATCGTTCTTTGTGCATTTACCGTATGACACGTGTGCCATCATTTTCTGTAACTTGAGAAGTTTTAGTTTAATTTCATCATCGTGGCTTCTTTACACCATCTTCAGGCGGTCCAAGCTGTAATTCAATATTCATCTGTACCTGCTGGGAGTGCTTTCATTTCTACATCAGAATTGCACGCTTAATGTCTCGTGATTGTAGGAATTGTGAGTAGGATTTTAAAACCTCCAAACTGGTTTGTGTTTAAAATTAATTTTGCAAATATACAAGACAAACTCAATCTGGCATGATCTGTATTATGATTGTAAGGAAAATATAGTGAATAATATTTCATAATCTGAGAAGAGTTCACATGTTTATAAATTTATATCTGATGATACAAAGAAAGGAGACTAAAAACAATGACACATAACATACATAATTTATGTTTTACAAGCTAACATCTTCCTCAAAAGCTGGTGAGTGTTTACTCATCACTCCCAGCTTAGATATAAATCTCTGAAAAGGAAATGGATCGAAGCTTTAGTTAGAACATTGGCTAGTTGATTTGAGGTAGTATTCGTAGGCTATAGACAGAAGAGCGAGTCCTGAAGCTCTTCACAGACTATGTGGCAAAACAATTCTATGTTTCGTTCGCTCGTGAAATGAATTTGTTGTAACATGCTGAGCTATTTGGCTATAGCAATACAAAAATGCTGGAGATATGAAAGGAATATGCGAGTCTTTAAGCAAAAATAAAATAAAATAATCCATTGGATTTCACAAATAGTGGAGGCTCAGGCTCTATACTACGCTTTTATGATGATTGTGATACAGTTGATTGTTTCTTCAATTTTCAAGATATTAGGGAATTGAAGAAAATAAATACACAAAAATGAGGTTGAATTGTGTGTGTATATGTTAAATGCTTTTTTGAACAAATAGATGTAAAGGGTGTAGTGTCTAAACAAAAGTTTTTATTTTTTTACAAGAAAACATGATATGAAGAATAAAAAACTTTTGCACTGAGAAAATTTATACCGATTCAATTCTCAATAAGAATTACGTTCATTACCTTTATTGGTTATTACCTCTTTGGGCTTTCATAACATTGGTCCATAAAACATCACAGAATTTCGAACTTCTTGTTCCTTTAGGATTTGACAATTTGAAATCCCCCAAGAAAAAAATCTATTTTCTTTAGTTACAAGATATATCTCTCAAATATAGTCGGATGACCTTGTATCAAGTCTCTAATTACATAAACTAATCCATATATTTGTGTGTTGTGACCCTAAACATTCAATTTTACTACTAAATTCACTTTATTGTATAAAAAAGTTTTAAAAAAATGACTTAACCTAATTTAACATATTTGTTAATTTCTAGGCTAATGAAGTTCAAATAACACCCATTTATAATTAAACCATAATCAAAAAAATAAATCCTGTTTACATTTTTTTTAAGAAATAGAAATTCACTAAAAAAAATTAAATTATGTTTATATAACATTTTTATTTTGTTCCTCGTCAAAGTTTAATTATATAATTTTAAAATTGAGGATCTTTTACTTAAATCGTATTTGACTACTTTATAAACTTATTTTTTTTATCACTTTATACAATTATCTAATTGCAATGAAGGAATTTAGAAATTAACTTATCTCACCAGCTTATAACATTTTTTTTTCATTCATTAGTTGAAGTAATATTTGAATTTACAAAAATTAGAAGTGTTAAATCAAATTGATAAGTTGTTGATCAGAGTAGGACAAGATTTAATTCTTAAAATAAGATTTCAGATTCAAAATTTATGTATAAAAAAACACAATTAAGAGAAATTTTTTTATTAAAGATGAAATTGTGTAAAATCAGTAAATATTTCTTATGAACAACATATTTATCAAAGAAATATGTATTAAATCGTGTTATTCAACTTGAGTTTATAAATCTATAACGTGAAATTGTACCAAATTGACCTGAATTTCATTTGATAATAATTTTAATGGTCTAACTTAATTATGTACTTTGCTAGATCAATAAGTCAAATTATTCCTAAAATATAGAATCCTAACTTAACCAATTATACCAAACCAAACTAATGCAATTTGTATGAGTCTAAATTTTAAAGATTTAGCTTACCTTTAATTATGGTCTGTTTAGGTCGACTCATTTGTCATACTCAAATTGTCATTTCTAACAATATTATCATGTGTCTATTTTTATCCTTAAACTTTAACAAAATTAATCAAGTACATTATACTTTTTGACCCATATAATATCTAATCTATAATTTTATTTTTCAATTTTTAATTCCACGATTTGTCTCTAAATTTTGTAGATTTTGTAATTTTGGTTCAATTATTAAATATTCATTTGTTAACTATTAAAATTGTAACATTGACTATGACCTAACATTAAATATATGATACGATAATTAATATTTAATAATATTTTTGCTAAATTATATTTTTTTCTTTATTTTAATCATTTTTATTCTTTTTTTATTATTTTTATGAGATAAAAATGGAGTTTAAAAATATAACTTAGCCTAAATATTATATATCAAATAATGATCAATATTATAATTTTAATGATTAATGAAAGAATATATAACAATTGAAGCAAATTATGAATTTTAAAAAATTGAAAGATTAAAATCAAAAAATTAAAAATGAGTACCAAAATTACAGGTTGAATATTTTAAGAGACCCAAAAAATTAAATTTAATCCATTACGTACTTATTAGTTCAAATATTACAATATTTATTTTAAAAAAATTCTTCCTTTAATATCACATTCTTTGTTTTAACTATTACATTATTTACACTATTTATATTACATTTTTATCAAGTTATTTGATATTTAAAAAAACTAAGATTTTTAAAAATTATAAATATTCAAAAACAATTATACGAAACTTAAACTATAATTTCCTAAAAATATTTTTTTTATAAAAAATAAAAAATGGTATAATTTTTTTAATATTATTTTACATTTACCAACTTATTCAACAACTAATTTTATCAAGCACTTATAATATAATATAATAATTAGAAGAAGAAAAAACTTTTAATACAACAAGTTAGCTTAATAGGTTTTAATTTTTAACAAACAATTTAAATTAACTTTTAACTTCTATTTAACTTGTAAAAAAACTTATCAATTATTTTTGTTAGCCAAAATATTTTAAATCCAAATTCTTGAGATGTACTAAAAAGATTAAAATTTCCTCCTTTTGTTAAGAAACCCAAATGTTATTAAGGATTTAATTTGCGTCATGAAGCATGAGAACATGAGTCATAAGGAGTGTGGGTCAGTCTCAGTCTACACTAATTGCGTATAATTAAAGCAACTAATCACTATCATTAAATTTTTTTAATTAAATTCAAACTCGAAGAAGAATAAAGATAATGATGCTGAATGGAATATCCCTTTGTAAACTTCCCCTATCCCTCACTGTCGGTCCTTTTCAATCATTTTTGGTTTCTTCTAATTAGATGTTTCTATAAACATATTTTAAGTGCAAATTTTATTCAATTTGTTTGCAATAAATAGTTTTTTGTTAGAAAAAAAATTGAAAACAAATGAAGTTTTTTTTAAAAAAAAAAAATTAACTGAACTAAAGATCTCTTTATGAGCTTTACTGTGACTAATCACCCTTAATATTTATGAAAATTCGCACTATGTACGTTGCATGTTTTTTACCCTTGTTTTCTTCGTTATTCACCAATTATTTTAGAATAGAAGTATTCTTTGGATTTAAAGTTTTCTCATAATATGACTATTTTGTGAATGGTATCTTTCAATTAACTTTCTAGTGATTGCTAACACAACATTTTGACCCAAAGTTTAAT